TCAATCAATTACTCATTACAACTGATTATAAGCCTGTAGTACATTTTTCACTAATTGTTATTTTTGTCACAAAATATAGGGTAATTCCCAGGAAAACTCTCATGGCCCTGGCAAGTTTATCCCTATAAGTAGGGCAAATCCTTGAAAAACCATCTCAAGCCATTACTAGGGCCTTGCCAGTTTGCCATGTCAGGCCCTTGCCAGAATCCAGGCGTACTGGGAAGGGCCTTGAGAGGCCCAGACCATAATTTCCGCACGGGTATATAAAAAAGCCATAATTTCGTAAGAAAAAATATTAAAGATATAATATTAGTGAATCTCATTATTCTGAAATTACAAAAAATATTATTGTCTCCGATAACTGATCCATCTACCCTGTGGGATGTTTAAATTATAATTGCAAAAAAAAAATATTGATAAAAATCAGTTTTCTTTCGAGGAAAGGGATAACATCTATAATTTCCCGTCGAAATGAAGGTCAGCGTTATAAATCATTGGGTCAATGATACCATATGGAAGAAGTGAAGCGACGCGTCTCCGCGAGGACGAGAAATGAAAGGGATTCCGTTGAATTGGAATTTCACTTGTCCACGTATATATATATATATACGTTATCGAACACAATCGACGAAAGGACCCGAGAAATCGTGTCGTACCGTTGACTGCAAATTATCTCCGGTGTATCGTGAAATTTCCAAATAAATTGTCAGGAACGAATCGTTGACCCGATATGTAAACGAGAATTCATTAAGAGGAAAAATATAAAAAAGAATTTGCCACTTGTATATATATATACATATATATCTTGTCAAAATAAAACATTTTTTTTCTGCGGTTATTCCTCTCTTTCATTTGCAATCTATATATATGCATGATATTTACTATATGTACATGTTCCGAATTTGCTTTATCCAAAGATAAAAAATGCATTTCTGAATCCGGAGAGTGGTCTCATATATTTCAATTCGCTCTTTTATGTTTGAACTTAAGACTAAACTTGATTTATTATATATATTAAGCCCAGTGAAAATTATCCTTTCAATTTATAGTCATTATACGCATTTAACATACACAAAGTTACAGTTAATATGTTTTGCGAGCTTTTTTTATCTATTTTTAACATCTAACCTTGAACTTTGAGGTTATGTTCGTCATTAATCTATGCTTTTGACACATGACTTTGATTTTTGAGGTTATACTCGTTTTTAACCTGTTTTTGACATTGTTAGTAAAACGACAGATTTCTGTCGTGCAAAACTAAAATACCTTAACTTGTTTTTTTCATTTAGGTTATGTTGCCCATTGTGTTTCTTCTTTTGAAAAAATATAAAGATTAAAATTATGGTAAATTTGATCCATGGAAGGTAAAAATAATTATTTCTATCAAATTTAAATTTTCCATAATTTTAATCTCTATATTCTTTTTAATGAAAGAAACTACGAAGTAGTATAAGAAACATAATGGGCAACATAACCTAAGTAAAAAAACAAGTTACACGGTATTTAAGTTTTGCACGGCAGATTCAATTAGTATCAATATTAAAAATGTTTTTTTTACACCTACTGTGGGCAAAATAAGATTCTGAAAATATAACAAAACAAAAATTATTTGTCAAACGTAGTATCAGAGGTAGTATATAAAAATAAATATAATAATATATAGTTATTATCAAATGTTGGACTGTTAAAATAGAAATTTCTTTAAATGAAGAAATGACAAAGTTGAGGTAGAACACTCGCCTGACCGCGAGGACATAAATATATACTGAATTATAATGTACGACTACATTAGTGGGCAATTTGTTTCTCTGAAGCTTAAGCACGTCTTAAATTGAAGACTCTCCGGTCTCGCTTAAGGCTCTCATATGGACACCCGTCCTTAATGCACAATAATCATACAGTTCTCGTTGATGTAAACACTTGTAAACATTATATCCTCCAACAGTGAAATGCACAACATTGTAACTGGTCACTTGCAAATCAGAACCTTAGCTTGTAATTTATTAACTCTGAATAATAAAGTAATTTTCCATTTCTTCCATATATATTTATATATATGTTAAATTTCAAATTTTAAGAGAGTCTTTTAACATTTGAACTTTTCCTAAAGCTATTATAATAAATTTGAAAAAAATATAAATTTACTCCTTGCCACTATAATAATTAATCTAAGACGCCGTTTTCACTGTGTGGGTTAAATTTTAATTCAACGCAGATTAAAGGAACAGGCTAAATTTGCGTTTGCGCAGAACATTCGTAAATCTTCGTACACATGCGCAGAACATTCGTGAATCTTCGTACACATGAGTACGAGTTCTGCGCATGTGTACGAAGATTTACGAATGTTCTGCGCAGACGCAAATTTAGCCTACGCAGAGCTAAAATTAAACCCGCACGGTAAAAACGGCGTCTATAGTTCAACTCTTAATTATTATTATTATTTACTCTTTTTAATTTCTTCCAATAGGAAATATAAAAATTGATAATATAAGAAAAATATAATTACATTTACAGTGTGTATAGGATGATTTACAGATCTTTAAAATTAAGATATGCTAATATAGCCTCCAAAGAAAAGAAAATTAGGTTTGTGTGTATATAAAAAATAAGTGGAAAAAAGAAATGTAGTAAAAATGATTGTAAACATCATATGAATATGTATTTCGGTCAAGTGCATCTTCTTTTGTCTTGGGGCGATTGAATTTCGGGACAGAATAATATTTTTACCCGAGAATAAGGAAGAAATTAAGTAGTAAAAGGGAAAGGGGAATCGAAAGGTATATAATATGTATTTACTGAAGTAATCGTCTGGCACATTCAAGTTTATGAACATTATCTTGTCAAGATCATTTATTCAATGATGTATTCACAATACGTTACCCTCGTGAATAGAACATTTACCAGAGGGTCATTTAATACATATACATATTTACAAAATGCACGTTCTCACCTCATTTGCAAAAATATATAATTATGTAAATATTTCCTTTTTATCCTTGAATATATCGGAAACTTTTTTACTTTGCGTATGCGTTGAAAATTTGTACTATAATTTCTCATTTTCGTCAAGAGTTTTTTGCAAAAAAAAAGTTTAGTTTTAATTTTAGTTTTTTGAAACTAAGTGTAATTTTTTTGGCATTTATCAATTTAAAGGTTCATTATAAAATATAAAGAACTTGCTTTTTAAATAAATTTCACTCGAACTTTTTTTTACCCTTTTAATAGAAGGTAGAAAAAACATTACCAAAAGAGAAAGTATATATAACTCTTACACTCGTTTTGACACATAATTGAGATAGACAAGAAAATTTATAATCAATAACGCATATTTAGAATTTAACATTAATGAAACTGCAAAGAGATATATTTTGTGAAATATGCGATTATATAAAAGTTTCGATTAAAAAGATCCTTATTGGATTTTAATCTTTTTGAATATTCTATTTAATATACTTTAAAAACAAGTTTATATCTATAATGATCTTCGAAAGTTAAAAGCATGCATCCACAATTTTGATAACTAATAAATGCATAAAACACAAAACTTATTGCATGGACGATTTGTAATCAATGCTTCTATCATCGTTTTTGTGCGTTCTGACTTACTTAATAGTCACGAAAGGTTGAGTCAGAATATATATATATTTTCCAAGTTCGATAAACTTAACGGCGCGCACATATTATAAATATATATGTATAATTTCATATATGAAAGATTATAAACAGCTAATTTGTATATATTTAATATTCAATAACAGAAACGTTATATGATAGATTGCCTCTCACATCATATGTCAGATAAACTTGACTATAATATGTAAAACGGTGATACCGGTCCTGAAATGAAAATTAATGTGAAATAAAATAAATATTGTCAATACAGTAGTGCGAAAATAAAGACAATCTGATAAAACGTCATTTCCATTGCTGAGTGTCAATTGAATTTTATGTATTTAATAACTTCACTCACTGTACCTTTTATAAACGTCTGATACAATCGATAACTTACAGAATGTTGCGTAATTTTTTACGCTAATAATTTTTCTTCCTACAAATGATGTCTTTTTTCTACATTTGCAAAAAGAATTCTTTATTTAAATATAAAGATCTGTTTAAACGATTTTATTTAATTTAACACAGTTTGTAAGTTTTATTTTAATATATATGGAAAATATTTATTACTTTCATTTAAAAATATTATTTGTTTGAATGAAAGTTATAATATGTTTGATTTAAACTGAAATTTTAGTTTATAATGGTCACATGTAAATTTCAACTGGAAAAACAGTAAAACGTCCGAAATATGACATATTTTTATATTTTTGACACCTGCCTCACCCTGCTTTTCTCTATTCTAGTTCCCCACCCTGTATTGAAAAAAAGCTACCATTCCCTGCAAAGTGTCACAATTCGGATGTTCCACTGATTATTTTACATTTAATGTCAATAAGATTTTGATATGATTCTTAACTTCTGAAAAAAAATTTATTTGATTCAAATAATCGGTTACTTGATTATTATTTAATAAATATTTACTTGAATTTTATTTGAATTAAATGAACTGTATTTGAACCAATAATTTTTGTATCTGTAACGAATACCATTTAATTAACTCAAAAAATAATTATTTGACACAAATAAATATTTATTTGATAACAGTCAAGTAACTGATTATTTGAATCAAATAAATTTTTTTTCACGGTAACTAATTATTTTTCCTGTATCGTTTGGAGATTATTTTAAATTCAAGTTTATTCTGTTATTTTTATCCGTGTTCATTCAATTTATTGTTTTCATAAAATTCTGAATGGATTGAGATTTTGCAAAAATTACAATAAATAGAAAATCAATTTCTGTTAATAAATCGTTTTCGATCGTTTCGATTTGTAAATGTTTCATTTAAATTAGAATAATAAATTAGAATTAAAATTAGAATTAAAATTAGAATATATAGATTGGAATTTAATTAACTAACAAGAAATTTGTCTCTTTCTTTACAGGGATCAGGATGCGGTGGATCGGTTACGTGGCCACAATTCTCTGGTGGTCAGGCATCGCCAGGTCCCTCAGCTCACTTAATCGAGGTCACAGTCAGTAGTAATTCCTTACAACTTTTATATTCACTTCGTCCTCATAATCATGGATTCCATCCGAGTCCTTGAAATCTTCAGAGGACGTAGTATTTTTAAAGAAAAAGAGTGTCAATATTTACATTTTCCATCTTTTTAAACGTTTCATTCAATATTCTCATCAAATACGCGCACTGAGAAAGAAGTAATCTCATATTAAGAGGAAGATTCCTCAGATGCAGATAGTCTTAAGGATAACAAGATATTTCAGTTTAATGTAGAATTTTTCAATTTATCCTCTCAAAAAATAAGAAAAGAACCATTTTTAATCCGTACGCTACTCAAACTAAAGATTCTTTTTATCAACTTTTGATTTAAAAAAAATTCTAATTTAACCGAATATTAATTTATCAGAATTACCATTCAACGGAATTCGAATTTTTAAATGCCAAAATTTACAATGCATCGTATCTTTATTCGTCCTAATTTTTATTTGTATGAATTGCTATTTGATAGAATTCTCAAAACTCCGAATTTCCATTTATCCGAAATTGCAAATGTTCAACAAAGAACCGAAAGAAAATTTTCAGAGCAAAAATTAAAATCAGAAATTGAATCGATTTTTTTACCATAGTTGTCAAAAGATTATATTTATTTTTGTCCGCTCGGTGATTCAGTGAATTTTTCCTGTTTCATTTACAGAGCAGAAGGCTAAGGGTACATGTAAGAAAGAGAATATTGGTTTTAATGGTAAGTTAACAAGTTTATTTAGGTAAATATTTAGAGTTACAAAATTGATCTTTGAGAGAGAGTATCCTGAAGCAATCAGTCTTGAAAATAAAGGAAGTCAGCATTCCACTGCAACAAAGAATGTAAAGGTTACTACAAATTTTTAAAAGAATTAAAAAGGATTGAGATAAAAAGTATTACGACTTACCTTAAAAATTTAGAAGTGAGATTTATAAAAAAGGACCACTGCTATGTCCTTAAATATTGGCAGAAACGGCTGGTACCAGATGTCGTTTATAAGCTCACAGGAAGGTTGACGGGCCTTGGTGATAATAACAGGTCCGGAGTCCAAGTGACGAAACCCAAACAAATATTATTCTTCCGGAATTTAACACTTTGATACAAAAATTCTTCTAAGACCAACTTGAGTATAAAATTGTGCAGAGTAACAGTACTTTTACAAAATTCGTATGTAAAGATAGCGAGCTAGTACCAAAATCTGAACTAAATGTAGCGGCTTCGTTGACAATTTCAAAACTGAACTCCTAACGATTGTGTCCCTTTTTATACAGGATTTTCACAAAAAGGGAAGACAAATTTCTCAGAAATGGGTTGCATTTTCCAGCCTCTTAATGAAGGAGTAACCATCTAATCATTGAAAATTAGGGTGACTTCCCTTTCGAAGTGACAAGAATCGTGGTGATAAAGGAAAATCAAAATTAGACACTCTCAGTAGAACAATGTAGTCCAATTATACAAAAACCAACCTTATGGGTTTTATTATCTAAATTCGATACAATCTTAGGGTTTAGCTTTGTTACAAAAATGCAGCTGCAAAGTTTAGCAAACGTTACGGTGAAGTGACAATAGTTTTTGGGACTCTGAATAATAGTAGGTACAAGAAGTCCGGACTTCGAATTGTCCAAGATTATTTAATTCTCGACAAAAGTAGATGAATACCAATATTACTAATAGATTTATTCTTTTGTACAAAAGGTTGAGTAGCAATTGACATGTTGTCTATAATCTATAGGGTTGATGAAGTAAAATACAATAATTCGTTACGGTGATGTGACACAAATAACAATTCGTGCAAATAAAAATTGGGACAAGTGAAGATTACGTGAATTACAATAGAAATTCTGTCATTTAAAAATTTGAATCACTTAAAATTATGCTGAATGAGATTGGATTAGAATTTTTTAAAGAAAAAGTTTGTAAAGAGAAATTCTGTAAAAATTAATTATAAATTCTTCAAAATAAAAATCCTAGATCTTGATCTTGAAAATATATATATATATATATTTATTTATAATAAATTCAGAACAAATAGTAGAAAAGAATAAGTACAAAACTCAAAAATACAAATTTCCCTTGAAATTGTATACAGCCAAATAATTTATTACTGAATTTCAGACAAATGCCTAACATTGTAATAGTGGCATAAAATTATAAGATTCTATAATTAGTAAATGATTTTCCAGTTCGTTTATGTTTTGTACGTTATGGTGTTGTGCATTCGCTTATAATTGATTGCGCAAGTTGATTCAGTCATATTTTATAATTGAAACTGATCAACATTGTACTTGTGTAATTATAAGTTGTTCCGCGTTTTTTCCCTCCTGTTATTAAGTACAGTGTATCTAAAAATTCACTTGTAGGAGTCTATATATATATATATATGAGAAGGATGGACATATATGATTATTTCGTTTCCATTGTACAGCATCTATTATCAGAGTATGAGTTTTAATTAACCCATATTACTCTGTTAATGACCGGATCACCAATGCGTCGCTACATGAACGATAATTAGGATTTCTTTTTTCTGCCTCGACGAAGTTATGTTGCTGCACGATAAGTGGTACACTTTCACCAAACCTAGAGGGAATCTTCTTAATGCATCTCCGCGTATTGCAGAATTTCAAGATTCCAAATTCCTTGCAACTATACGGCCTGATGCCATGTCGCATGTCTTTTCCGTTTATAGAAGAAATTCCTCAACCTTGGCCAATTATATATTCTCTCTCTCTTTCTTTATATATAAATACTGATATCATATCTTGACTGATTTCACGATTACAAGAAAACACTCTAAATCACCATCGTCGAGTATGAAAAGAATGAGTGGCAAAATTTTACCTGATTTTCTTCTACGAAAACGTATTAAAATATGTAATTCACTATGAACCTTTCTAGTCATTATATACACTGCTTTAATCACGTTTTCCAGAACATTTCTTGATGAATACTCAAAACAATAAATAGTTTTACGTATACAAAGTATATCTATTTTAAATAATTTCAATATAATGACTATCCTTAATAATTATTAGAAAAATAATATAATTAAAAGAGGAAAAAATCCTGCCAAAAAAACTGTGAAGATAATCCATTCGTTTAATTTCACCTTTTTGACTCGGGAAGATTGATAGATTCTATTTTATATTTTCACATTAAATGTCTAAATTTAAAAAATAATTTTTTCCCTGCTGGGTCATGTCTTGTAGATTATTATTATAAACTTGGAAATGTATACTGTCAATTAATTGCTGTAGGATGAGCAATTAAATTATTATTAAGCGAAAGCGTAAATAAGATTACAAATTAAAAATATTAAAAAAAAAACAATATTTGTAAATCTCTCTTGCTTGTTTTACTATATGCAAAATAGAAGTATAATTTTAATAAGATTGCGGAAAAAACAATGATACTTTGATAAGGGTAATTAATATCGTGTATATAACATTAATTACTATATAGATGGTGAGATTTTTGTCACGATTGTGGGAAAGTAATTAGAGCACTTCATGAGAACTTGTTGTGATGATCATTTTCCGCTTAATTGAAAATAATACAAAAAATATATGTTTTTACTTATTATGGGAAAAGAAAATTTTTATATTTTATTTAAGCAATGTATTTTTTTTTTAATTTTATTAGTTTTTTTTTTACTATAAATCTTAATTGTTAATTATTATTTTCCCCTGTGACTGTAACTTTCACTTTACAATTTTATAATAATTATTTTCAACACAGTTTTTCCTATAATTTTGTTTTCAGGTTATAAAATCAGCCCAAAACCATGCCGCGTAGCAAACATGTTGGGCACAGAGGGCACCTGTATGTTCGTGTGGGAGTGTATCAAGTCAGAGGGTACACACGTGGGAGTGTGTGTGGACACATTTATGTTCGGTAGTTGTTGCGTTCATAATGCAACGAGTAATAGCATAAGTTCTCACAATCCATCCACATCATCAAACACATTGAGGCCGACCTTGGCCGAGGCCCTGTCGAGTGAATCGACGAGGTTGACGTTGACGTCTCTCTCAATTTTGTCACATCCATCATCCAGCACAACATTGCGACCCCAGAGTCAATTTCAAGGTTCGCAAAAGCAAGATGTTAGTTCCACTAGTCAGTTATTAGGTTCAAAGAATCATGGCGTAAGCTCAACAAGTCATTATAATCATCATAATCAACAACACACATTGGGAACATCGAAACCAAGTTTCAATTCGACAAGACCTTTTAAACCGATATCAGTTAATTCAAGTCGACCTTTGCAAAAAAGGCCGCATGCTAAGCCAACTTCTGATCAAGAAGATAGGCTTCAAACATCCATTATTCCTGGCCAAGTGTCAGGATATTGGGAAAAAAATTCACAGGACAGTTCGAGACGTCCACAGGGTAATAATCATCATCATCATCATCATTCACATCATCATCAAATGATGATGAAAACCAGGCCTGAGTCTGCGGAACATCGACCTGGTACTGGTCAGCAATCATCCAATGATCATCATGTGCTTCAAGATAAAATTGACAATAAACATAGCACTTTATTGATAAGACTACCAAACAAAAATCAGGGTTCAATAAAAGGTCAGGAGCTTAGGCCACTCAGTCAGAGACCTTCAGAATCGAGGCCCGATGACAGCAAAACCGTTGAATCTGATCTCGCTGTCCAAGAGACGATCCATAGGCCAAGCATCAATTCCCTAGATGATAAAGTAAGTCTTACTTTATAGATGAATCTTAAAATAATTAATTTTATGCACACAGCTCAGATATATTACCACTTTTAGAAGCTCAAGAATTAAAATTGAATCATAAAATATAATTATTTAATTGCAATTATAATATAATAATTATAATATTGTAATATAATTATTATACCATTAAAAATAAACAAATTCGTTTTGTAATCAACAAAGAAAAATGAATAATAATTAAATAGTTATATTTATTAAAAAAATAAATTTCCTCTTTTTGTAGGATAATGTGAATAGTTCGCACCTTAGTTTAAATTTTATCCACACTGAACCGCCGCAATGGGCGACAAAACCGGCAACCTCCAATAAGCCTTCTGTAGATTATTCAAAGCCATATTTTTCTGTAAAAACGTCAACTCACCGACCAACACTAATGAATGGAGGAATGGACGATAGACCCAATTTTCTATCAAAGCCTGAAAGTCAAAATAAACCCAATAAATCCTCAACGACTTCAAAGCCAACATATTATAGCAGTCAATCAACCAGGTATGTCACCCAGAAGTTTAATTTTATTAGAATTAAAAAAATATATCTTCCAACAATCACAAACAACCCCCCACAGCACCGTAACTGTCCTGAAAATTTAATAAATATTTATTTGCAATATTTAATTGCAAAGTTTAGTGAAAATTGTGTAAAGATTTAAATATTCCGATTAAATAAATGTTCAGGAAAGTTTTGCGATAAACATTTATTCAAGTGGGACATTTAAATCTTTACGTAACTTTCAATAAACATTACAATTAAATATTCCAAATATTGCAAGTAAATATTTACTAAATTTTCAGGAAAGTTTCGGTGCTGTGGAGGAAACAAATTACAGAAAAATTCAATAATAAATAAATATCTTAATTATATTATATTAACTTCACCTATGTTAAAGAACTTCTGTCAATTATTTTCGAAAGTTACAGACTTTGAACAATGAAAAATATCATAATTCGAAAAATGTTTTTACAATTCACTTAGAAAGTTCGTAAGTTATAAAATCTTACGTCTTAAGAAGTTTATTAGAAAGAAATGTTCGAATGTAAGTACTATTATTAAACTTTAAGAGAGTCTGTCTTTTATTAAAAAAGATCTAGCTAAAAATGTTGACAATTTTGATTATATATATATCGTAAATTATTATTGATACTTTCTAATAATCTTTTCATATTAAAAAAAGGATTTTCTATATTAAACGCAACACGTAGAAACCGAAGGCAGATTATTTATTGTTTTCTAAGACAACGAAATCCATTAAGCCGGAGTTTCAGTTTAAACAAAAAGAATAATTTCACTAAAATTTATATAACTGATAGTTATTGAGAGAATAATAAAAGTTTTGTGGAATCTTAAAAAAGATACTAAAAGCATTATAAACTTTGTGCATATCTCAAAGTGGATGTAGATTTAAGCATATTTTAGTGAACTTCATCTTTCCGTACACAGTCGCATGTCTCAAAAAGCAACACTTAAAGCTTCCTTTCATTGTAGCGCAGCCGGATCTGTACCACAAACAGCACACTGGCAAGTAACCACCGAACCTGCATTTATAACAAAAAACCAAAAGCCATCGTCCATCAAACCAATCACAACAATATTTGAAGCAACACGACCTGGTGGTTCAAGCTCTTATTTTTGGTCTGACAGTAGTTGGACACCACCGAGACCATCCATGAAGCCACACTGGACAGATCATCCAAATTTGATGCAAAATGGTCCTGAGAATTTTCCCCAAAAACCAAGTTTCAAACCAACAGAAATGCAAGAGGTAAGTTCCTGCATGGGGTGAAATTTTTATTACAATCCTTTGTACAAATATGTTTCTAGTAACAAAAATGAATATTCTTATAATACTATTATTAGTGTCAAAAAATTAAGCTTACGGAGTTTTAAGATAAAGTATTATAGCCAAGGTTAGAGTCCAGCTAAAATCATCTAGACCCCGTTGCTCGATGATTTTACAAAAATCTGAAATTAATATATAATATTCTAGTATACAATTTCATTATTAATCAAGGTTTTATGAGGCTGGCTACACCGAGAGCCAATCAGGAGGGTTAAATTTAATCATCTAGCGTACTAAACAATTGGGCTAAATTTTTCGTCGGCGCAGAATGTTTGTGTATTGTGTACATCTGCGACCATGGTTGTAATAGTGACAGGTTAGAAATGTTCGCTGGCTTTGGCGACCACGTGATCGCCTTTTCTAACCTTACTTTTCTAATTTGTCGCTATCGCAACCATATTCGCAGATGTACACAAACATTTTGCGTAGACGCAAAATTTAGCCCACTTGTTTAGTACGCCAGAGGATTAAATTTAACCCTCCTGATTGGCTCTCGGTGTAGTCAGCCTCTATATATTGCTGAAAGTGTTTAAGTTTTTTTAAAATAATTTTTTTTAATATATTTTTAATAATACATATTCACATAATATACCTAATAAATAAGTGTAATTTGTTTGAAAATTACTCACCTAAATGTTTAAAAAGAGATTTTTCGGTTTCGTATAGTGTTAAACCTTTCTTTTTCTTTTACGAATATCTTTGTTAGGGACGGAATTTCCGTAAATTTTTATAATTTTTTTTTTTATTATTTATTATAAAACAATAATTGTTATTCAAATATTTATAATATCAAACGCAACACACATTATTATTCTGATTGTGAATATTTAATTATTGTTCCGAAATTATTTAATAATTACAATGTCAAAAGTCTTTTCTTATAAATTATTTACAAATGAATCGTTATTTCGCAAATGAGTTACAAAATAATAACATGAACTAAATTATCATTATATTAATTAAATGGGGGTCTTCAATATATAAGAATTACTAAATCCATTTGGAAGATTAGATAATATTAATGAAAATCATAAAGTAGAGCAGGTGATTGAATGTATCACGACACAATTAAAAATGCAACTTAGCTGAAGTTGCATGGAAACAAGGAGTTGTTGGTTGCAAAATCAACCCTCTCACTACATGAACATAGTGTGATCATTGTTACCAATTTTATTGTTTAAAGTAGTTTAAATAGTCTTCTCAATCAATCAGTAAGTGAAGCAGGTGTTATTTTGTTATTCCCGCAGAGCGGATGTAGTGTTTATTCCCGCAAAAAGGCGGATGATTATATATTTTGTTGATCCCACTAAGAGTGGTTGAGTTTAATAATTTTTCCCCGCCGTCAGGGTTGATTTTGATTATTATTATAAAAAGTGCAAGTGCCATAAAAATATAAAAAAAATAAATAATAATTAATGGAAAGCATTGAGTAATTCATATTAAATAAAGTATAGAAAAGAAGACTTCCGCATTCAAGCATCAAGTGACAAACACAAGTATAAAACTAATCCGATACTTTTCTGGTCTGCTTATAATTATTATTATTATTATTTTGATGAGTTTCTTTAATAATTGCTTTTGTTGAAACAATTTATTTTTAAAGAAATTAAATACACATTTACACAAATCACACATACACAATTCATAAAAAATTGTTGATATTTAAAAATCAAAGTTGCATTTTTGAAATAAAATCATTTTTGTTTGGATTCACTTTGATAAAAAGTGAAGTTATTATTTGTGAGACTTGACGTAAGTCAATTGTTATATCTAATATGGTGAACAAATTTTTCAAGAAATAATGGTTTTTCGTAAAAGTATCTAAAGTTTTTTGGGTCCGGAAATTACGAATCTGAAAGTCAGTTTTTAACTTTTTTTTTATTAAATCTATTACCAAACTCGAGAATTTTCCCCTGACAAAGGGAAATTTTTTTTGCAATTTTCAAATAAAGGGAAATACATATAGTTAATTCCTCGACTGAATGACCTGAATTTTTTTACCTCCCTCTTCCCTTGAAAATACTTGATATAGCAATACTTTCCAATTTCAATCAACGAATGACATTCGATAACTTCTTTTTCTCGCACACTGACCATTTACGGTAGAGGACGAGTACGAGAAAATCTATATACTTCCGCGTGAAAAGCATTTGGTTCTTTTTTTTTCATCTTTCAAGGTCGTTCGCTTCATATAGCTTCATTAACGTTTATTCGCAAATATTCCACAAATTCAACTTTCTATGTATATCATATTATTATAACGTTACAGGATCATTGGTTTCAACACAAAAAAGTAAAGACGGATCTTTGTTGCACTTCTTATATCATGCGGGAGATATTAATGCCTTTCTCTCTATGTGCAAATGTCGGCGAGTAAAAAGCAACAAATGGCAAATCAGAAAAGGCATTAATGTCTCCAACCTCGAGGGAGATTAAGAGTTTTTTTTTCTTGCTCACTTCTCTTGAGAGATATTGAATTTTTCGCAAACCTTCCAAGCAATTCCATAACTTTCTATCATTCTGCTCGTAAAGAATAGGTTCAATGAGGAAAAGTGTGCTTCATTATTTTATCTTTCCAGCAATTGTGAGAAATCATTCTTTTTAGGCTTTTTCTTTGAAGATCTTAATGAGGAGGTTTTAACATCCGTTGCGGGTATATATTATCTTATGGTTTTTCTTCTTTTATACATTAATTTTACTTTCACATTTTTCTTGTGTTGGTTTTTTGAAATTTTACTTAATAATTTTTATATTTCTCTTTTCTTTAGTTTTTATATTTACATCAATTATGATAATAACATTCACTTCAATAATTGTAGTCACTATCGTACACTGAGAGACATTGTATTTGAAACATTACAATTTTTATATTAAAGTTTAATATGGTGTTACATATAAGTAATATAAATACAGGGAGAGTTCTAATCAAAAATTCCCGTTACCGACATTTACCGACACTTTCAGCCCAGACTCAAACCACTTATCTCAGACTTAAACCACAAATTCGTGAAAGAGGCTGAGGGTTAATGAGAGAGTTAAAAGGGTAAGGGGGGTGTTAAAACAATTGCCACTTTTATTGACATATCTCCAACATTCTTAATAAAGCATAAAATATTTCGTCTACAAAGAATGTTTAATCCAATTGATTACAATTTCATTTTCTATATATTGATAATACTTCCGTTTGTGGTTGTATATCATCGTGAAGTTTGGCACAAAATGCGTCAATGAATAATTTATTTCTAAAATTGATGACTAAATAAATAGATAATAAATATTATAATGAGCACATGTCTCTTTGCAGAGCGATTATCATAATAAGCCTTTTGGTGCAGCACATTTTATTACAACATCCTACAATGAAACACCGACAAAACCGCGTCCTACGAAAAAAACAACTACGACTACCACCACAACCACAACAACGACGACAACCACAACTCAAAGACCTTCAACGACGACTTCGTCAACGACCACATTAGAAAAACTTCCGGAAACACCTATAAGAACCGGATCTGTTTTGACTATACCGGCAGCATCCGAAAGTCGAGATATGCAATGTGGTATACCGCCTCTATTTCCAAGACCGGAAACGCGAATTGTTGGCGGAAAAGACGCTGCATTTGGAAGATGGCCCTGGCAAGTTTCGGTAAGAAGAACCTCGTTTTTTGGATTCTCCAGTACACATCGTTGTGGAGGTGCTGTTCTCAATGAAAATTGGATTGCCACTGCTGGACATTGTGTTGACGAGTGAGTACTACCAAATTTTTTTTCTCCATAATTAATCGAAAGATTACAATAACTATTTCTTTTTTTTTATATCTCTTTTCATTGAAAATATAAATATTATTAGAAAAAAATTAATTAATTAAATACAAATATTATTTCCAGTAAAGATATTAATTTTTTTTTATTAAAAATAGTATGTAGAAATTTTGTTGAAAAATATAGCTTTTTTAAAAATTACACTTCACTGAAGTTCACAACGTTTATGATCAACGATTAAAAATAAAAAATATTAATAACAAACATTTCTAGGCCTTTTTAACAGTTAGTATAGATAAGGGCTAAATTAATAGACAAAACATGTAAAAAAAAAAACTCCCGCACTAATAATTCTATATATGATAATACAGATATCTACTTTATCATATAAACATCTACTTCATCGGCAAGAAATGTTTAACTATAACCTTAAAAATTTTAATACTTAATATAGAAATTCCACCATGGAATTTCATTACTATGAAATTTATCATAAGTTGTACAACACCATGGAACTTGTAACAATTTTAAAATTTTCAAAACAAATTTTTAAATTTTCACATTTTATAATCCATTTTAAACCAAATAAGAATTTTAATGTGATCAAGTTTTATGTAACTTATACCAATAACTAATAAACTTTAGTGTATTTATTATATTCCAACTTTGTTTGGTTTAGTACTAAATTATAAAAAGATGTCGCTAAGTCGGGTCTTCAAATTGTCACGTTTCATTATATAATAAAAATTATTCTTCAAAAGGTGCAAATATTTGAAATCCTTTCAAAATTTAGGTATTATTTATAAGGATTTAAAAAGATAAACTTTTAGTATCATGAATTACTATATTTATGTAAAGGATCGCTATCCTAATCCTGTCATAAAGTACCCTTATTAAGGTACGATGTACGTTACGGTACATCTGAATCATAAAACTTCTAGAAACTCAAAATATGCTATTTTTATTCGTGAATATTCGTAAATTGTCGGTAATATTCGTGATTTTCACAGTTTTGTAAGGTCTTCGTTTTCACACATTCTTTTGCAAAGACAGTTGTCATTTCGTCGGCACCCAACATAGATCCAAATAAATACATTTAAAACAGAGTGAAGTTCATTTATTCAGTCTATCACTTAAAATAAGGGATAAAATAACATTTATTTTATCTCAAAATTTCTGCTACATATAAATTAATAAAATTAAAGAGAATTTAATTTATTACGAATTAGCAGAAATTATTTATCGAGGAATTGAAAAGAATTGAAAATTTTTAATTCTTCTGAATTCCGTTTCTGCCCAATTCTTTTGTATCCACCTTGGGTACTCGAAAATAATGCCAGTTGAATTCTTTTTAATTCCGTTTTAAAATTTTGTGCAGTAAAAAATTTGACGGTTCGAAAATTTGAACTTTCGATTTTCAATATCGGAACCAAACAATTACTGTTCTACGCAGCTGTATTAACTGAACTGTAGTTATTTGATTTTAAACGTACTTACTTCAGAGTATTACAGAATTGAGTTTCAGGTATAACTGAATTATTTAGTCCTAATACTTATTCAGCATTTTGGAAATTAAAAGAATTAAAAAATTAGAGAAATATTAAAACGGAATGGATAGGAATTGAGTTTCAAGCAATCTTAGTCTCAAGAAGGAATACCTAGGAATTGGACACAAACAGAATTCAAAAAAATACTATCCTTTTCAATGGAAAGTTAAAAATTTTTAATTCTTTTGAATTCTCACTTCTTACTAGGAAGTTTTTTATTATTCAAAATTATTAGTTTATTATTAAATTTTATTGAATAATAAGTTAATAGCCGAAACATGTAACAAAAAGAAATTGATTTGAACAATAAACGAACATCCACTAACTGTTAAAAAAACCCTTGAAATGTTTATATTATTAAAATGAAAAAAAAGCCAGTTCCAAAAAAACTTTCAAATAAAAAATTATTTTTCACAAAAAAATTATAACAATTTGCATAGAAAAAATATTGTTTCTTCTAAATCGTTGATCATAAACGTTATGAACTTTACTGAGCTAAAATTACCGTAACCGGAAAACATTTTTCAAAATTTTTGAATTACTTACTAAAATTAAATAATCTGTTCAAAAATTTAGAAAATAATTTTAAAAAAATAAATTTAATTAAATTCTTGTTTAATTATTTAATACGTTTTTTAATTTCAAAGAAAACAATATAATAATTAAAGGAAGTTAAAATTGAAGATGATTCTGATAATTGTCAATAATTTTTTTCAATCAAGTTAATTGTCTAATTATATATATATATATATATGATTGCAGCAAAATTAACAATCGTCATTGAATGGCAGGTTATAATAATTGTAATTATATTTTTAACTATGATAATTCTGAAAATGTTGTTAAATTTAATGATAATAATACCAATCATTTTTTCTCGTCACTCACGTTTGAAGAGAAAAACAATTTTACAATTCTGATTGAAAATGATATTATTTTAACAATTTATTTACTTCTTTAAACACGGGATTTTTTATTTATTCTTCATTTTAACGTTAAGATAATTAAAAAATAATGTTGTATATGATTTCCCCTATAATTTATTGTACATCCTTTTAACTAAAAAGCTCTAATTTCCATCATTTCCATATGTATAGTCAATCAAATTATCCTTGAAAGCAAACAAAAAAGAATTCGAGATGAAAAAAAAATTGCTACTTCCTAGCTGCATATATTTTTTTTCCTCCATTTATTTTTCACCTTTTTCTTTTTATACTCTTCCTGAGATTGATTTAATGACACTTTGTATACCTTCGTTATTTATCGTTTACTTGTTTCTGTCCTATTTTTTTTTCTTGTGTCATCTTCTCAATTTTCTTTGACAAAGTATTTATTTCCTTCATTACTTTATCGTCCGTTAATGTTTCTTTAAAGGACGTACTCTTCATTTTCCGCTTCTCTCAACTGTAATTTTTTTATCGCCAAGATAACTTAAAACATCTTCCAAATAATTTCATTATCCTCGTATTTTTCACTCATAACGACATTTTTCCCGCTTGTTGTCAATTACTTTAATCTCTTGACAAAAAAAATTTTTCAATTACATAAAATTGCAGCTATTGAAATAAACTTCTTTTAAAATTTAATTTAGAATTATTATTAAAAATTAAATTTATACTGTTAAGAAAATCCGAAAGAAAATTAATTAATTAGGTTCAGTACTAATGAAGAAAAAAATTTTTTTTTCACAGTTTACTAATATCCCAAATTCGAATTCGAGTGGGAGAATACGATTTTTCATCTGTCCAAGAACGACTTCCATATGTGGAACGAAGTATAAGTAAAAAAGTCGTGCATCCAAAATACAATTTCTTCACATTTGAATATGACCTTGCACTAGTAAGACTCGAGAGTCCATTAACCTTTGCTGCACATATTTCTCCGATTTGTTTACCTGCCGCTGATGAATTACTAATTGGAGAAAATGCCACTGTTACGGGATGGGGAAGACTTAGCGAAGGTGGAACTTTACCCTCAGTCTTACAAGAGGTAAATTACTTTTGAAAGAAACATTGCAAATTATACTATTTCAAGCATTTAACATTAATTTCAACATTAAAATGAAAATTACAACAATTATATATATAAATCTAAAGAATAAAAATTAAATTCAAACCATTAAAATTTTAATTAAAACGTAATGAAAATACATTAAATGTAAATAATTAAAAATGAATTAAAAGTCATTAAAACATAAATTTAAAAAATATATTTAAATAATAAAGGATACAAAATTATTATAAAATTACTATAATTAAACGTCATTTAATTATTTAGAACTTTTTATTTATTTAAGTTAAATTAACTTCTACGGGTTCACAAACAAATGCTCATTATTTAAAATTCATTAGAATGAAATATTTTTTTTTTATTTTTTATGGGCGTAAGGGTCTTATCAATAATTTTTTATTGTGTTCACCCAGAGTTAATTACAACGCAATATATAGCTTCCAATCAACTGAGACCGTAGTAAATCCTACAAGATCCGGTTTATGCAAAAAACTACTGATCTAGAGAAGAATGACTCGAAAAAAATAATTACAGAATTTATAAAATAATTAACAGAAAAACAATTAAATCAACAGTGTCAATTTTTTTATATTGCTTTCTTAACGTTTTCATATTATTAAACATTTTATATAACCGCGTTTTTTTACCTATAAGAGAGTTATCGTAACGCACGCGCAGTTGCGTTTACATACAGTCATTGGCAACTCTGGTAAACTGCTTCGAGAAGTGAGCTATTTATAGCTGGGGCATGACTTTTATAGCATTCTATTCGGGTGGGGGTAACCTGCGCGCGCATCTTGTCTGTGGTGGGGAAGCTCATGCACTGCTCGTGCGATGAGTTCATACGCTGGAAATTGATCGATTTTCAAACGAGATACGTTATATTTAAATTATTAAAATTAAATCTTAATTGTTGAAATTAATTTGAAGCTAAAACGTTTCGTTGACTAGTTTTGTCATCAATTAAATATAAACGAATATTGTTTAAATTATAATTAGTATATTTGCAAAAATAAATTACCAATTTTCATTTATTATTCCACTTTTCAGGTGTCTGTTCCAATTGTTAGTAACGATAGATGTAAATCAATGTTTCTTAAAGCTGGAAGACACGAATTTATACCTGACATTTTCCTGTGTGCCGGATACGAAACAGGAGGTCAAGATTCGTGTCAAGTAAGTAATAAAATCCTTTTTTTAAATATAATTATTAAAAAAAGATGTAATAATTAAATGAATTAATCGTTGTTATTGAGTACGTCATTTACAATATAATATTTGATATAAAATATTCCCAACACATTGTTTTTGATTATTAAAGTATAATATTAGAAATTACAGAAATATTTCTAAAATAGTTTTAAGAAATATTCATATAAAAAAATATTACTGTAGAATATTGTTAATGAAATATATAGAAGAAAAATTTTTTTTTTTCATGAATATTACAAAATTTTTTTTGGAAAATATTGTAAAAATATTATTGTGAAGCCCCGTAAGACGGAGATATTTCCCTCATGAAGGGAAAATTCGTTCACCGATAAATTTATTTCTAATTAGCTTTCAAATAAAGTTTGATACTTCTATTAACAAAGACAAATGTTGTCTTCGTTAATAGAAGTTTACAAAACTTTATTTTAAAGCTAGTTAGAAGCAGATTTATTAGTGAGTGAATTTACATTACTTGTGTGAAAACGGTACTGCAATAATTTTCTTTATTCCTATGTGACATTTTCAAAAAATCTATTTTTTTGCCTATTTCGAATATACAATATCTTAGAAATATCGTGTAAAAGTTTTAGACCGATATTCGGACAAATGAAAATTCTATCAATTAGAAATTCTGTTAAGGCCAGGTCCAAGTGAGGCAGCGCCATCTACATTGAAACTAAAATTTTGGAAAATTTTCAACAGCCTTTTCTTGAAAACAAGATGGTAAAATGCTTTTTCCTTTATGGATAATTGATTATTGGCAAGATATACACCAGCTAAAACTTTTTTTGAGTTAAAATAATAAAAAAAATTTCATGTCAATAAATTAAATATGAGCACTTTTTTCACAAAAACTGTAACAGTACTTTCTCAGAAATTACAATCAAAAATGCAATTTCCATTTGGAAAATTAATAAACGCTAAAAAATACACGACCTAAGATTTACCAATCACGAAAATAACAAAACAAAATTTTATTAAATATTTAACATATTGATAATGCTTTACTGATTGTGACAGCCCTTTGGTAGATTATGTATTTCAGGTGGTTAGCAACAGCGCCAATCTCCTCCTTTCGGCAAAACTGCGAAACGTCTGGTGACATATATAACTTGCCAAACGGCTGTAATAATGAGTAAAATATGTTATGTTAAAATAGTTTTTTTTTGTTATTTTCGTGATTTAATTAATTGACATGAAATTTTTTTTATTAAATAATAATAATAATAATAATTCAAACAAATGAAAATTCATCTGAAAGAAAATTCTATGCAATTAAATTCTACCCAAATAGAAATTCTTTAAAATGCCTATTATGTTAAATGAAAATTCAAGCAAATAAAAATTCAAACAAATAAAAATTCTGCGAAGTGTATTTTCGGTTATATAAAAATTCTGTAATATAGAAAATCGTTTTGATATGAAAATTCTGCAAAATACTAATTCGAACAAATAAAAATTCGAATTAAAAATAATTATGACAAATGAAATTCCATATAATGAAAATTTTAACTAATGATTTTTAGAACATATTCATGCGTCCTGAATATTTTTATGAAATATTTTTAAAACCATTTGCTTACAATTGAAACTCTTAATAAATTTTCCTTAACTCTAAAATTGTTGAAATCTACTAAGATAATAATTAATAATAATAAATTTGAAAAAAAATAATCTCTCTAAATTTGAATTAGTAAAAATTTCTACTAACTTCTTGAAATTAGTTAAAACTTTTATTAATTTAAATTTAAAGAGAATAATATTAAAACAAACATTTTTCTAATTCAATTCACGATTTTCAGGGCGATTCTGGAGGTCCTTTGCAAGTTCGAGGAAAGGATGGTCGCTACTTCCTCGCTGGCATTATTTCCTGGGGAATTGGATGCGCAGAAGCCAATTTACCCGGTGTTTGCACTAGGATCTCGAAATTCGTTCCATGGATTATTGCCAATGTTGGCTGATCATTTTCGATCATTATACATTTACTGACAATCATCAAATATCAAACTTTTTCATAGAATTTCACTGACCCTAAAAATAATCACGTAAATTTATTTGCACATTTTTTTAAAATTTTTTCAAATTACATTTCACTAAAAAAAAATTCGCTAAGAAAGAATTGATAACAAATTTTATTAATTCATTTTTCAAATTTACCTGGTGGTAAAGAAATGAATATCAATTTTCTTAATCCTCTTTTCAATTTAGCTACGGGAAAAGAAGTGAATTTTCTTAATGCATTTTTTTCAATTTAATTGTTAATTAAAAATTGAATTTTTAAAAACAATTTTTCATTGTATTTTTTTATAATTTTTATTTTCAAATTTTCTTTATAATACTTTTTTGGATATAGTTCCGAATAGCACATACCTCCAAAATAGTAAACACGGCCTTCGGCCGCGTAAGGTACTGCTCGCTTCTCTTTTTAAGAAATCTTGGGGAGAGGGGGTGGATGTGTCCGAAAGTAATTTGCAGAAATTGTGGGGTGGAGTCTACAGCAGCGGTAAACGCAAAATAGTAAACACGGCCTTCGGCCGCGTAAGGTACTGCTCGCTTTTCTTTTTAAAAAAACCTTGGCGAGAGGGGGTGGATATGGCCGAAAGTATTTTCGTCTAAAAATTTTTTTGAAATTTTGTGTTTTTTAAGAATAAAACGCAAAAAACCATGATTTTATGGTGTTTTTTATGGTTTTTACCATGATAATTAAATTTCCGCCAATTTTCACTATGATTTTCGTAATCAGCGCACCAAATTACGTAGGGATACCAAGTTTTATCGAAATCAGAGGTATGTGCTATTCGGAACTGCACCCACTTTTTTTTACAACTCCCATTGAAATTATACAAAAAATGGTATAATCAATTTTTGTTGATCGAGACAAATTTCGCGAACAAACGACACGACTGATGAAAATACATTGTCGATTATTATTATTATTTTTTTTTTTAATTTTACATAACACGATATTAGAATAATACCGATTTTTGTTTAATTCGCTTTAGTTGAGATCATATAAAATATTGCATTGCTCAATAATAATATTGATGCGAAAATGGTCGATTATTGAATGAACGTTTAAGATCATAACGATACGTTTTTTTTTATAGGCATATGACGCTGATGAATATCACTGTAAATATATATTAGCTTTACTTTTTTAAATTAATTAATAATAAACACTTCAAGTGATTCAATTGTTTATAAATTTTCGTGATTGTACAATTTTAAATCATTTTTTTTATCACAGTTCATTGTCAAAAAAGCTGTCTGTAAAAAAAAATAATTAGAACAAAATTAATTAACTTGGTAGTTAAATGGTGAACAAATTTGAACAATTTGAAAAAAACAATTGTTCATATTTAAAAATTCGTTAGAAAAGTTATTAATTTTCAAAACTTTTTTCCCCCAATTAAGAAAAATTTCTTTATAATTATGATTATTATCAAAAAATTTTTTCAAGAAAATATAAAATGAAAATAATATGTATTATCGGGATAATATTTCCTTTTTTGAAAATATTCAACGAAAAATGAGTTTAACAGAATTTTTTTTTTTGAAAAATTGAAATAAGATCACGAAACTGATTGATCTGTGCCAAGACGTATCTAATTCGAGGCGCAGAAATGTATTTATATATTATACATATAAATACGTATAAAATAAATAAATAATATATTCGCATAGCGTTTACTATTTAGGTGAAATGAAATAAGAAAGTCCTCTCTTGTGACTTGCATAAAAATCTCCTTTAAATGTACAGAATTAGAATTTTAAATTTCTGATAACATCTTTCCATGAAAAGAAAATATTTTTTCTTCTTTTTTATCCTATTTATTTACTTTTTATTTTTATAGAATTAATTTTTTTTTTGTTATTTAATTTTTATCATTTTTTTTTTTATACTTTTGTTACTTTTGTGATATTTTAATTTTTTTAGAATTAATTTTTCTTTACTTTTCTTTATTTGTTGTTTTTTTTTAATAAATTTTTTTAGCTGGCGCGTTAAATTTAAATTAAAATTCAATAATAGTTTTTTATCGGTGAATTTAAAATTCTTTATACTGTCCAGCAATAAGTTTTGTAAATGCTAAAATCTTGCCCTGAGACATAATATCCGTTTTTATGTCATTGTTGTGGATAATTTTTTCAATTTCTCTCATCTCATCGAGAATCTCCGAAGACGCAGAATTGATTCGTAGTTTGCGATTTTATAATTATTCTTCTTTTATGTTATCATATATTTTTTTTTTTTTATTTGCACGAATTTTGTACAGAGCACAATAATGTATATGTGCAGTTGACATATAGAGACTCTTACTTTTATAAATATAATTATAAATATATATATATATATAATAATTGTTTATAGATAATAGCCTTATTATTTATAATTATTGTGAAATAAATACAAATTTATTACTTTTCAAATTTCTTTTATTAAATTTTTATTTATAAAAAAAATGTTCTTTACACTTTTGTATATCTTTAGATTTTATTATGAATACAAAAACTTTACAAAAATTCTTAATTGTTAATGAAATTAAAAAATTACTGTGTATATTAATTTTAAACATACTTTATTCAATTCATGTAATTAATTCTATTTTTATTAATATTATTTCTAATGTCTTTCGACATTTAATATTTCAATTTTTTCTAATTTTTCTAATTGAATCGTGAATTTTGAAAAGTGCTCAACTCGAAAAAGCGTGTCATTTTCGCATAACAATCGATAGTGAAAATGACTTTTTAGGTTTTTTGAGTTAATCCCTTTTCAAAATTCACGATTCAATTAATATTATCGATAGATAAATTATGTTTTGAGATAAAAAATTTTTTTTATTATTATAAGAAAATTTAAAAAAAAACTCAAAAAAATTTGTTTAAAATAATCAAATAAAATTGCTAAACAGTTAATTAAACTTTTGGTTGAATCAACAAAAATTTTATTTGGCACAATCAAATTCTTTTTTCGTTTGAAGAATTTTTAATTTTTTCAAAAAATTTATCAATATAAATAAATTTTTAATATTTTCTTAAAAAAAAAAAAAAAATACAAAAGTTTATTTAGATTAAAAGAATATTAATATTTGATTTAAAAAAATATATATTTAAACTTGCTAAACTTGCTTTTAATGTAGCAAAAAAAATTGAGCTTTTCAATTATTCTGCAATTTAAAATATAAATTTTCTATAAAATTATAATGTACATAAAAAATATAAGATTACACTGTAATAAATTTGACTTAAATAATCGGTTATTTCACTATTATCAAATAAATATTTAGTTGAATAAAATTATTTTTATTTGAATTAAGTCAATTTTATTTAAATTAATAATTCATGTATATTTAAAACAGATTCCATTTAATTAACTTAAATAATAATAATAATAATAATAATAAATAGCAATTTTTCTTCTTGCTTTGTAAAATAATAATAATAATGATAATAATAATAATAATAAAATAAATAAATAATACAATAAAATAATAACAAAAAACAATTATTTAATACAAATAAATATTTATTTGATAATAGTTAAGTAATGAATTATTGGAATCAAATAATTTTTTTTCAGTGACGCTCCACGAGGAAAGGGACCTTAAAGGCAAAAATTTTAGGTTATGTTTAGTGATAGTTTTAGCTTGATTAAACGTTCATTTTTAATAATAGAAAATCAAAATCTGTTTCTATTGAATATTTTGGATCCAATGAAGACAAACATCAGTGGTTTGTATTAAAAGTTTGTGTATTTTCACTCCAAAATTCACAAACATAACCTAAATTTTTTTTGTATCCAAGTTTCCTTTTCTCTTTATATTAAAAAAGCTTGCAAATTAGTTTACCAAAAAAAAAAAAAAAAAAAAAATTAATTAAATTAATAATAATATTTATAGTCACAGATTTTGATATGAAAAATATCTGGCGAAATTTTTTTTTTTCACGGATTTAATATATTATATTATTATATATAAATATATTGACATTTTAAACTATAATATCCTTGAGTTGAGAGGATCGTCAATGCGACCAGCAATTAGAGTAGCTGTAGTTTCAGTATCGATGATAAAGTAAAGAAACGGATGTTCAGCAACAAAGGATACAGGACCAGCCCTTTCTAGAAGACCATTTCCTATGACAAGTCGAAAGTATCAATTATATTAGATCCGTTATTATGAAATACAAGAAAGAAGAAAAATATTAATGATTGCATTGGAAGCTCACTTTAGCAAAACAGTAAATACATTTTAAAGTATACTCTTATGCTATCATTAGCGTATAGTTACTGTGGAAGAATAACATGATTACTGTTATTACATGATTTCTTATTACTGATATACTTGTATCTAAATCTACATTAAGTGTGCAATTGAACATAGGATATAGAGAAGAGAGAGAGAGAGAGAAGGAAGGCTTATACGACTTTACTGTTTTTCGTCTTGAAAAACTTGTCTGATTATTGATTTAGTTTAAAACGAACTATTTCAGCTTGTTAGAGTTGTTAATAAGTATAACTGTTTCGAAATCATTGTCTAAAGAGCTTTCTCTACTTTCTAGAGATGATAGTAAGTTTTTTCTTCCTGTTTTCGAATATATATATTTATAAAAAAAAAATGCAAATAGAGTTTTCAGTTCAATTTAACATGACGATTAAAATTAATTAATTTAATTAGTTAATTAATTTTATTATTTTAAAAAAAAAATTAATAAAAGTAGTATAAAATAAAAATGGTAATTTTTTTTAAAAATAAATTACAAATTTAATGTACTATCATTATCAAAGTTGATTAATAATTGATTTTAAATTTTCTTTTTTAATTATTTTATCTTTTACGAAACTTTTTATACCACTTTTTTGTTAAACTCAACATGTATTTTTAGTAAATTGACTACTAAAGTGGAGAAAAAGACGAAATTTTTTGGAGGGTGTCAAGCTATCTAAAAAGTATTAAAATTATTCTGATTTATAATAAAATACGTTTTTGAGAATCTTTGGATTTTCAAAAACAATTTTTTTTCAAAATTTTTTACTGTCACGTTTTTGAGAATTTAATTAATAAAGTTGCATATTTTTACATGGACTCTTATGGAGAGTACACTGTCAAGTACATTATTAAGAGAAAATGAAAAAAAATGTCAAACTTTTTTTTCAAAAAACCTACTGTCGTGAAGTTTGAAATTTCTAGAATTTTTAGGAATAAAAATTAAATAGGTCGACTGATTCAATTTTGAGAAATATAATAAAAAACTGGGTATGTGGGCAAAGGACGTTTTTTTGTGGTTTGAAACTTTCTCTGAAATAAAAAATGATTTCGTGTTAAAATTTTGGAAAAATGATTTTGTTTGGTACAAGGAATCTCGCTGTTCTACTCATTTACCCATAACTTAACGCAAAAATAATAAAAATAAAGCAATAAATAGTAAAATAATGTATTATATCATAGTTCATTCAGCGGCCACTTGCTCGAATTGGCGCTGTTTACTGAAGCACTGATACACTCAAGTAACGTCTGTGTATGCGCCGCCATCTTTGTTTTCATTTTCGTTGAAAAATGACACTTTTTAAACTTCATTTTTTAATAATTTAACTCAAAATTATGTATTTTTCGGAAAAAAGCGAGATTCCTTGAACTCAAATCTAATATCCCTAAAAATTTTAGGCAAAAATCTTTTTTCATTTTAGAGTAAAATGTATACTACCAAAACACATTTTCCCATACTAGGTCACGTGGAAGGTTCCCACATACCCTTAAGAGTGTCGAACGGTCTCGAACATTGATTTTAAGGCTAGGTCCAAGTGAGGCAGCGCCATCTACATTGAAACTAAAATTTTGGAAAATTTTCAACAGCCTTTTCTTGAAAACAAGATGGTAAAATGCTTTTTCCTTTATGGATAATTGATTATTGGCAAGATATACACCAGCTAAAACTTTTTTTGAGTTAAAATAATAAAAAAAATTTCATGTCAATAAATTAAATATGAGAACTTTTTTCACAAAAACTGTAACAGTACTTTCTCAGAAATTACAATCAAAAATGCAATTTCCATTTGGAAAATTAATAAACGCTAAAAAATACACGACCTAAGATTTACCAATCACGAAAATAAGAAAAAAAAATTTTATTAAATATTTAACATATTGATACTGCTTTACTGATTGTGACAGCCCTTTGGTAGATTATGTATTTCAGGTGGTTAGCAACAGCGCCAATCACCTCCTTTCGGCAAAACTGCGAAACGTCTGGTGACATATATAACCTGCCAAACGGCTGTCATAATGAGTAAAATATGTTATGTTAAAATACTTTTTTTTTTGTTATTTTCGTGATTGGTAAATCTTAGGTCGTGTATTTTTTAGCGTTTATTAATTTTCCAAATGGAAATTGCATTTTTGATTGTAATTTCTGAGAAAGTACTGTTACAGTTTTTGTGAAAAAAGTGCTCATATTTAATTTATTGACATGAAATTTTTTTTATTATTTTAACTCAAAAAAAGTTTTAGCTGGTGTATATCTTGCCAATAATCAATTATCCATAAAGGAAAAAGCATTTTACCATTTTGTTTTCAAGAAAAGGCTGTTGAAAATTTTCCAAAATTTTAGTTTCAATGTAGATGGCGCTGCCTCACTTGGACCTGGCCTTAAAACACTTTTTTCTCGAAACATGGACAGTTTTTATAAAATTAGCAAATGTACCAAGAATTCTTATCTTATAAATTTCCTAAATCTTAAAGATTGTCCGAATCCATTTAAAACCGCTATTGCAAAATTGGAAATAGGAAAGTAATAAATATAATGACAGTTACGACTTTTTGCTATCTGCATGTTTCTGCCATCTGACGGGAACAGGACTTAATAAGCCTGTAACCTGTAATTATATTACTTTCCTATTTTCAATTTTGCAATCGCGTTTTTGCATGAATTCTGAAAATCTTTTGTATTTAGAAAATTAATAACATAAGAATCCTTGATGAGACGCTTGCTTATGTCGAAAAGCCAATACGTCGAACTGACAAAATGTCGAAAAGCCAATACGTCGAACTGACAATACATCGAACAGACAAAATGTCGAAATCCATAACCTCGAAAAGCCAAGACGTCGAACGGTCAAAATGTCGAAAAGCCAAGACGTCGACACGAAGTAGTATAAGGAGTCCCCACTATGCAAAATGAATATGTACCGAGTTTCCCGACAGCCTTTCAATTTGGTAGGTTAGCGATACTAGCGCGATTACCGGGGAAATTGTTGCAACTCAACTGGATAATGGCGGAAATGTATGTTTTGTGATGATTCGTATCTGCTCGTGAAGAGTCGAGTGCAGACGACAAATCTGTCACAAACATACATTTCCGCCATTATCCAGTTGAGTTGCAACAATTTTCCCGGTAATCGCGCTAGTATCGCTATCCTACCAAATTGAAAGGCAGTCGGAAAACTCAGAACATGTTTTTCCTGAAATTGCCTATGCAGTGGGGGCTCCTTATACTACTTCGTGGACGTCGAACAGTCAATACATCGAACGGACAAAATATCGATAAGCCAAAACATCGAATAGCCAATACGTCGAACGGACAAAATGTCGAAAAATTTTATTGACTTAACTATAATTATACTTGAGTCAATAAAATTTTTCGACATTTTGTCCGTTCGACGTATTGGATGTTCGATATTTTAGCTTATCGATATTATGACTTATCGATATTTTGTCCGTTCGATGTATTGACTGTTCGACATTTTGACCGTTCGACGTCTTGGCTTTTCGAGGTTATGGCTTTACGACATTTTGCCTGTGCGACGTATTGACTTTTCGACATTTTGTCCATTCGACAACTTGCCATTCGACATTTTGTCTGTTCGACGTATTGACCGTTCGGTGAAAAGCAAGCGTCTCATCCTTGGTACGTTGGCCGATTTTATAAAAACTGTCCATGTTTCCAGAAAAAAATGTTTTAAAATTAATGCATTTATCATTTTTCTCGTTCAGTGCTGGATTCAAAGTTGTACCCGGTAAGAAGCGAGGAATAGAGAAAAATTGAAAGTTTGCAGACATAGAGCAGAAGTTAAGAATTTTTGAATTTTTCTGAATACTTATTGAAAGGAATAAGAAATTTGAAAAGTGATGAAGATGTGGTCATTTCTATAAATTGACTATATGTCAGGCCATTTGGAGCGCATTTAGAGGAATAGAAAATGTGGAGAATAAATGAGGCATTTCTATGTTTTACAATTGACTGCGTCAGAGTATATGTATAATTTAGAGTATAAATTTTGGCCAAGTCAATTAAGAAGAATAGATTTTTTTACTTTTTTTTGCTTCATCGAGGAATTGAATAAAAACGTAAATTCACCCATTCAAAGGAATTCAGATTCTGAATTCTTTTCAATTCTTCGCTTCTTACCGGGTAACTAAAAAGGGTTTTGGAAAGCCCCCGACGACTTTAACGTAGCAATTAATAATTTAAATTATAATTGAATTATAAAAATAATATTAATAATTAATGTGGTTAAAATTTTACTTCCGGTTAAATTATACATTGAAAATACTTTTTTTTTCTTTTATGAAGTTAGGGGCGCTTAAAGCATACAGGTACTCTCCTGCGAGCACAGCTGAGCTTGTCTATGAAACACAAAAAAATAACACATCACGTCATGTGCATCTCATATATTCTCTTTTAATTATTGATAATCAATTTTAAATGAAAATTATTTCTGTTCTTTTGTTAAATTAGATTGAAATTGTGTTACTTCGCGTCAGTAAAAGTGAGGTTAGGTGCGATACAATATCTATACAAGAACGTTATTTATATCACGACAGGACAACGATCACACACCACGACGAAGGAACAAGTTCTTATCGGATCACGGAAGTTAAGCAACGTTGGACCCGGTTAGTACTTGGATAGGTGACCACTTGATAATTCCATCAAATAAGGTAAGTGTAAAAAAAAACCTTCTGGCATTGATATTCGATGAAATGTTTTATAGTGAAATTTTACTTTTCGATCGAATACCAAATTTTAGAAGTCAGACTACGAAATAATGATATCGTTGCAGTTTTTCCCCACTTTGGTAGTCAATTTACTAAAAAAAATATGGTGAGTTTAAGAAAAACCGATATACAAAGCTTCTCC